AAATCTTTATCAGTGAGGACTACTCTGAGAGTGTCCGTGCAAAAAGAAAAGAATTGTTACCAAAAATGAGAGAAGAAAGAAATAAAGGGAACATAGCCTATTTGAAATTTGACAGACTTGTAGTGCACCGACCTGGCGCTAAACCAACCAGTGATTATACACAATAGATGACACCCTTGTTTTAATGTTTTAGGCCTATAGGCACAAATTGTTCGTTTTTTTCCCATTTTTTTCTCAATGTCAGCTGTCTTCCTTTGCTCAAAGTGTTATGGTAAAGTGAAAAATGGCACTGCTTGTACATGTTGTAAAGGTTATTTCACACAAGGTGCACACCTTTAGATAGGTACAATTCAGCTGAATGGTCATCATGGATTTGTGATAACTGTTCCATTATATTTCCCTATCACAGTTTAAATGACAGAGACTTTTGCAATATGATTTCTGAGGCTAACTTGGTTCCTATTCATGATTTTAACAATATGATTTTTAATCCATTTGATCTTAATGAAAATAACAAATACATGGAATATGATAGTGCATATGACCCAGATTCTATGTTTTTTAACAAGACTAAGAAAGACCTTGGTACTAGTGACTATTATAATGTAGATGAGTTTAAGGAGTACAACAGACTTCGATCTCAGAATGTACGGAGTATCTTCTCTAGTTTCCATCTAAAAATACGTAGTTTACAGAGAAATTATGATAACTTAAACCAATACTTATCATCACTAGAGCATCAGTTTTCTGTAATTGCCCTTTCTGAATCCTGGCTCTCTGAGGACACTGCTGAGTCCTATGATATGCCACATTATAACTCAATTCATTCCTACAGACAGAATAAAGCAGGAGGGGGAGTATCACTTTATATACAACAAAACTTTAAGTTTATCGAAAGGAAAGATCTTAGATTATCTTTGGCGTCAGTTGATGCAGAGTCAGTGTTTATTGAAATACTCTCTTGTACTGTGTTTGGAGGAAAGAATATTGTTGTTGGGTGCATATATAGGCCACCGAATACTGATATCAAAGCTTTTAATGATGCGTTTGTTACTACTCTAGATAAAATTAACTCAGAAGGCAAATTGTGTACTCTGTTAGGAGATTTTAATATGAATTTACTAAAAAACAATAGCCATGTCTTGACAGCTGACTTCCTAAACATCTTGTACTCTACGTATTTCCTTCCTCTCATTCATAAACCAACAAGAGTTACTAAGCAAACTGCCACTCTGATTGATAATATCCTCACTAATAATTTTGAATATAAAAACACATCAGGATTGTTATTTACTGATATTTCGGATCATTTCCCAATCTTCCAATTGACCTTTTCTAATACAAGTCAAACAGAGGTGAGAGGAAGTCACCGGCGTAGTTTTAGCAGAGGTAATATTGCTCGTTTTAAGGGTTGTATTAATGATGTTCCCTGGGATGTTGTGTATGATCAAAATGATGCAGAATTGGCATATCAAACTTTTTCACAAATATTTAATTCCTCATTTGAAAAATGCTTTCCTTATTTTAGTTATAATAGAGCAAGTTCGACCAAAAAGAAATGTAAACCATGGATTACATCTGGCTTGCTGAAATCTGCAAAGAAAAAAAACAAACAAGGGCCCATTGGGCACTGGCGGGCCTGAGCCGCCACAGGACAGTCATTACCTTTCTATTAATACTTTGTTTTTTAATTTCACATTAATTTCCATATTGTATAAACGACTGGAAAAAACTTGAGCCCCTGCCCCTGTATAATCATGTGCACGTCCCTGTTCTAGCTCCAAGGTGAATCTTCACTGCTCATGTTCTCCTCAGAAGCAGTCACCTCACTCCCCTCAGGTTACTGTACACATGCACCAACTGCCTGCTTCAGGTTTGGATGGAGCTTCATGGTTGTCTTTTGGAGAAATGAGCAGTCAAGTTGTGTTAGAAATTTTATTTTTTTCAGGGGCAAAAGGAAGCCTCTGCATTCTTGTCAAATGTGTAAATAGCATGTTTTTGCAGGTGCTAAAAAACAGACTCTGTGTGTGTGTGTGTGTGTGTCTGTGTCTGTGTGTGTGTATCCTAAACACTAAACACTTCCACTACACAATTAACCCTTTCACGTATAACGGTCACTACAGTGGACAAATCTTCACTGGATATTTTCTATTATAAAAATAGGGGTTTGATTTTACAAATACATGTTAGCAACAACAATAGACCCTGGAAAATGAGTCCAACACTGGCACCCTGTGGCCATGTGATGCAACTGCAGAAAACACACGTCAACATTTAAGGTGGCTGCCTCTGCTGAAAAAAACAAATGTATGATGTCACTAAAAATCATTGTCACTAAAAATGATTATATTATTACACACATGCACACTCTTTGATGATCTGTGAAGCAGCTCTGAAGAGACAGTAGGAGCAGCAGAACAAAGTGTATTTGTAGAAAAGCCGTAAGAGCTATTGAAACGCCGTTTTTGCAGGTTGAAAGGTTCACGTCTCCACCAAAGGTCAGAGGTCAAATAACATTTGAATGTCAAACTGTGACGTCACAGTCGAGGTCCAAAGATAGTGTGCACACCGGTCTTTGGTCATTTCCCAATATAATGAATGGGAGGCGCAGTTTCAACCGAAACGCTGGCTGCAGACAAACGACATGTCCTATTTGAAAAAAGGCTGGACCATGAGTGAGGGCACAAATACAGCTAGGAAATATCCAAATGGCAAATTGCTTCTCCTTTCGCTTTTGCCGAAAGAGCAGTGCGTTTGAGCCATTGAACGATGAACAGGAAAAACTTGACCTTATTGTCCTGCCATGGGGGGGTGCTCTTTTAACGAGAAAAAACTCCTTCACAAATGTGTTGATGGCTGGACATTGCATCATCCTAGAAAACATGGAGGCCAGTGAGGACAAAAATAAAATGTTCTAAAAACACTTTTAAGAATATGGATATTTGGGTTATCTTTGGCGCCCCCTAGAACGTAAACCGTGGGGTGCAGCGTCATGATTTTTACAACTTTGAATGGCCATGGGGTGTAGATTGGCCTGAGAAAATTAGGTGTCAGCTACATTCAAATGTGTGCAAATCGGCAAAAAATGCGAAATAGCCCTTTAACCGTACATTTTACAGATATGTGCGCATTGACTTTTTCGTAGATCTTATTGAGATACACTTGATTGTCAAATTTTGGGTCAAAATGACAAAGCGTATAGGTGTGACACTCAACAATGTGTATTTTCACCTTAGGGGACAAGAAAAAATGGACTTTTTTCTCCTGCCATGGGGGGGGGGGCTCTTTTGGGGAGTAAAAGTTCCTTCACAAATGTATTGATGGCTGGACATTGCATCATCCTAGAAAACTTGGAGGCCAGTGAGGACAAAAATAAAAAGTTATAAGACTTTTAAGACTGTGGATTTTTGGGTTATCTTTGGCGCCCCCTAGAACCTAAACCGTGGGGTGCAGCGTCATGATTTGTACAACTTTGAATGGCCATGGGGTGTAGATTGGCCTGAGCGAATTTGGTGCCGGTGGAACTAAAGCCTTCGGAGGAGTTAGCGAAATTCCAATGTGTGCGGATCGGCAAAAAATGCGAAATAGCCCTTTAATTGTACATTTGACAGATACGCGAGCATTGACTTTTTCGTAGATCTTATTGAGATACACGTGATTGTCAAATTTTGTGTCAATATAACAAAACATACATGCGTAGCACTCAACAATGTGTATTTTCACCTTAGGGGACAAGAAAAAATGGACTTTTTTCTCCTGCCATGGGGGGGCGCTCTTTTGGGGAGTAAAAATTCCTTCACAAATGTGTTGATGGCTGGACATTGCATCATCCTAGAAAACTTGGAGGCCAGTGAGGACAAAAATAAAAAGTTATAAGACTTTGAAATATGTGGATTTTAGGGTCATCTTTGGCGCCCCCTAGAACGTAAACCGTGGGGAGCAGCGTCATGATTTCTACAACTTTGAATGGCCATGGGATGTAGATCGGCTTGAGCAAATTTGGTGTTGGTGGGACGAAAGCCTTAGGAGGAGTTAGCCACATTCCAATGTGTGCGAATCGGCAAAAAATGCGAAATAGCCCTTTAACCGTACATTTTACAGATACGTGCCCATTGACTTTTTCGTAGATTTTATTGAGATACACGTGTGTGTCAAATTTTGTGTCATTTTGACAAAGCGTATAGGCGTGACAGTCAACAATGTGTTTTTTCACCTTAGGGGACAAGAAAAAATGGACTTTTTTCTCCTGCCATGGGGGGGCGCTCTTTTTCGGGAGTAAAAATTCCTTTACAAATGTGTTGATGGCTGGACATTGCATCATCCTAGAAAACTTGGAGGCCAGTGAGGACAAAAATAAAAAGTTATAACACTTTTAAGAATATGGATATTTGGGTCATCTTTGGCGCCCCCTAGAACGTAAACCGTGGGGTGCAGCGTCATGATTTTTACAACTTTGAATGGCCATGGGGTATAGATTAGCCTGAGCAAATTTGGTGTCAGTGGGACGAAAGCTGTAGGACGAGTTAGCCACATTCCAATGTGTGCGAATCAGCAAAAAATGCAAAATAGCCCTTTAACCGTACATTTTACAGATACGTGCCCATTGACTTTTTCGTAGATCTTATTGAGATACATGTGTGTGTCAATTTTTGTGTCAATATGACAAAGCGTACAGGCGTGACAGTCAACAATGTGTATTTTCACCTTAGGGGACAAGAAAAAATGGACTTTTTTCTCCTGCCACGTGGGGGCGCTCTTTTGGGGAGTAAAAATTCCTTCACAAATGTGTTTATGGCTGGACATTGCATCATCCTAGAGAACTTGGAGGCCAGTGAGGAAAAAAATAAAAAGTTATAAGACTTTTAAGAATGTGGATTTTTTGGTTATCTTTGGCGCCCCCTAGAACCTAAACCGTGGGGTGCAGCGTCATGATTTGTACAACTTTCGATGGCCATGGGGTGTAGATTGGCCTGAGCAAATGTGGTGCCGGTGGAACGAAAGCCTTCGGAGGAGTTAGCGAAATTTCAATGTGTGCGGATCGGCAAAAAATGCGAAATAACCCTTTAACCGTACATTTGACAGATACGCCCGCACTGACTTTTTTGTAGATCTTATTGAGATACATGTGTGTGTCAATTTTTGTGTCAATATGACAAAGCGTACAGGCATGACAGTCAATAGTGTGAATTTTCACCTTAGGGGGCGCTATGGAGCCATTTTGCATTTTATTGTTTGGGCGACTTCAGAATATCGAATTTTTCACCAGGCCCGGTCGTCCTGCCAAATTTCCTGAGTTTTCGCCAGTGGGAAGTGGGCCATTTTCCAGTTTAAAGCAGAGGAAAAATAACGAAAGAAGAATCCATCAGGAACAAGAGGGCTCTCGCAGCTGCTTAGCAGCTACGCTCGGGCCCTAATAATAACACTAGGGCCCCGTTGGGGCACTGGCGGGCCCGAGCCGTGTCGCACCCCCCCCCCCCCCCCCCCCCCCAACGCGCTGCCTCCCCGTCCCATTCGCGTCCTCTGGCCATCGCCCTCTCTGGTAACGCCCATCACTGCAAAGACCCTTTTCCTTCATCGGCGTTTGCTGTTCTTCCTGCCAGTGCGTGTTGCTTTCACTTACACTTGCCACAGCCAGCCTCGTGAGTGCCTAGCCTATTGGATATCACTGTCACCTACACAGGACAGTCATACTTTGTTTTTTAATTTCACATTAATTTCCTTATTGTATAAACGACTGGAAAAAACTTGAGCCCCTGCCCCTGTATTATCATGTGCACGTCCCTGTTCTAGCTCCAAGGTGAATCTTCACTGCTCATGTTCTCCTCAGAAGCAGTCACCTCACTCCCCTCAGGTTACTGTACACATGCACCAACTGCCTGCTTCAGGTTTGGATGGAGCTTCATGGTTGTCTTTTGGAGAAATGAGCAGTCAAGTTGTGTTTGAAATTTGATTTTTTTCAGGGGCAAAAGGAAGCCTCTGCATTCTTGTCAAATATGTAAATAGCATGTTTTTGCAGGTGCTAAAAAACAGACTCTGAGTGTGTGTGTGTGTGTGTGTGTGTGTGTGTGTGTGCGTGTGTGTGTGTGTGTGTGTCTGTGTGTGTGTGTATCCTGCAGTACTCTGAGAAGAATAATAAGCATATTTCTGAGGTGAATTTTGAAGATTCATCTGAGAGTTAGGTTTGATTCGATTCGATTGACGCTCCCCAGCGTTCAAGTCACATGACATATTTAACCGGATGTAGCTGCAAGACGGAGCCTCGTTAACTCTCCGTTTCAACTTATCTCAAAAGTGAGGACCTCAACCTATATACCAGTTTTTAAATTGCGTTGATAGGCCAAATAAAACCAGAGTTATGATAAATTATGTCCGCGATACTTTTTTTCTGCTTATTTTGATCACGTTCGGCTTCATGGTTGTCTTTTGGAGAAATGAACAGTCAAGTTGTGTTTGAAATCTGATTTTTTTCAGGGGCAAAAGGAAGCCTCTGCATTCTTGTCAAATATGTAAACAGCATGTTTTTGCAGGTGCTAAAAAACAGACTCTGAGTGTGTGTGTGTGTGTGTGTGTGTGTGTGTGTGTATGTGTGTGTATCCTGCAGTACTCTGTACTCCTGCAGTGGCCAAAAAGACTTTTAAGAATGTGGATTTTTGGGTCATCTTTGGCGCCCCCTAGAACTGCAGTACTCTGTACTCCTGCAGTGGCCAAAATGACTTAAGAATGTGGATTTTTGGGTCATCTTTGGCGCCCCCTAGAACGTAAACCGTGGGGTGCAGCGTCATGATTTTTACAACTTTGAATGGCCATGGGGTGTAGATTGCCCTGAGCAAATTTGGTATCGGTGGGACGAAAGCCTTAGGAGGAGATAGCCACATTCCAATGTGTGCGAATCCGCAAAAAATGCGAAATAGCCCTTTAACCGTACATTATACAGATACGCGCTTTTTGACTTTTTCGTAGATCTAATTGAGATACACATGATTGTCAATTTTTGTGTCAATATGACAAAGCGTTCAGGCGTGACACTCAACAATGTGTATTTTCATGTAAGGGGACAAGAAAAAATTGACTTTTTTCTCCTGCCATGGGGGGGCGCTCTTTTGGGGAGTAAAAATTCCTTCACAAATGTGTTGATGGCTGGACATTGCATCATCCTAGAAAACTTGGAGGGCAGTGAGGACAAAAATAAAAAGTTATAAGACTTTTAAGAATGTGGATTTTGGGTTATCTTTGGCGCCCCCTAGAACGTAAACCGTGGGGTGCAGCGTCATGATTTGTACAACTTTTAATGGCCATGGGGGGTAGATTGGCCTGCGCAAATGTGGTGCCGGTCGAACGAAAGCCTTCGGAGGAGTTAGCGAAATTCCAATGTGTGCAGATCTGCAAAAAATGCAAAATAACCCATTAACCGTACATTTGACAGATACGCCCGCACTGACTTTTTTGTAGATCTTATTGAGATACATGTGTGTGTCAATTTTTGTGTCAATATGACAAAGCGTACAGCCGTCATGTGAATTTTCACCTTAGGGGGCGCTATGGAGCCATTTTGCATTTTATTGTTTGGGCGACTTCAGAATATCGAATTTTTCACCAGGCCCGGTCGTCCTTCCAAATTTCCTGAGTTTTCGCCAGTGGGAAGTGGGCCATTTTCCAGTTTAAAGCGGAGGAAAAATAATAACGAAAGAAGGAAACATGCAGGAACAAGAGGGCTCTCGCAGCTGCTTAGCAGCTACGCTCGGGCCCTAATAATAACAAAAGAAGAATCCATCAGGAACAAGAGGGCTCTCGCAGCTGCTTAGCAGCTACGCTCGGGCCCTAAGAAAGAAAGAAAGAAAGAAAGAAAGAAGAAAGAAAAACCTATACAGGAATAATAGGGCTCTACGCCCGGCTGCTCTGCAGCTGGCTCGGGCCCTAAAGAAGAATCCATCAGGAACAAGAGGGCTCTCGCAGCTGCTTAGCAGCTACGCTCGGGCCCTAACTAGGGCCCCGTTGGGGCACTGGCGGGCCCGAGCCGTGTCGCGCTGCCCCCCCCCAACGCGCTGCCTCCCCGTCCCATTCGCGTCCTCTGGCCATCGCCCTCTCTGGTAACGCCCATCACTGCAAAGACCCTTTCCTTCATCGGCGTTTGCTGTTCTTCCTGCCAGTGCGTGTTGCTTTCACTTACACTTGCCACAGCCAGCCTCGTGAGTGCCTAGCCTATTGGATATCACTGTCATCTACACAGGACAGTCATAACCTTTCTATTAATACTTGTTTTTTAATTTCACATTAATTTCAATATTGTATAAATGACTGGAAAAAACTTGAGCCCCTGCCCCTGTATAATCATGTGCACGTCCCTGTTCTAGCTCCAAGGTGAATCTTCACTGCTCATGTTCTCCTCAGAAGTAGTCACCTCACTCCCCTCAGGTGACTGTACACATGCACCAACTGCCTGCTTCAGGTTTGGATGGAGCTTCATGGTTGTCTTTTGGAGAAATGAGCAGTCAAGTTGTGTTTGAAATTTGATTTTTTTCAGGGGCAAAAAGGGGCCTCTGCATTCTAGTCAAATATGTAAATAGCATGTTTTTGCAGGTGCTAAAAAAAAGACTCTGAGTGTGTGTGTGTGTATATCCTGCAGTACTCTGAGAAGAATAATAAGCATATTTCTGAGGTGAATTTTGAAGATTCATCTGAGAGTTAGGAGGGCTGATCATTCCCTTTCCCTTTAGATGTCTGTCTATGTCTGTTTTTGTGTGATAATGAAAGAATCCCAACTCAAAAAGGCTCTGTTGATGTTTTTTTTTTGTTGTTGTTCATTCATATTCAAACCACTATTTTATATCACTGCTAATACGCCAAGACCATTTTATGGAATTTAGCTTTATTATTTCTATACATTTTGCAAGGAAAGAAACTAAGGCCTTCACTAAAATTTCCATAAACTTTAGGAAAGGACCTCTGGTTGTTTAACGGGGTCATTACTGCAAAAACATATTCTTCCTAAATTTTGAAGGTCAAACCTTAGATCCATTAGGTTTAAATAGAAAAAGCATTAAAATATGTTAGGATTATAGCATATGACAAATATGTGCCTTTCAGTGGCCACAACTACTTTGTCTGCTGGCTCTGCAGTCGATTGACGCTCCCCAGCGTTCAAGTCACATTACATATTTAACCGGATGTAGCAGCAAGACGGAGCCTCGTTGACTCTCCGTTTCAACTTATCTCAAAAGTGAGGACCTCAAACTATACACCAGTTTTCAAATTGTGTTGATAGGCCAAATAAAACCAGATTTATGATAAATTATGTCCGCGATACTTTTTTTCTGCTTATTTTGATCACGTTCGGCGCTCGATCGCGCTGTATGAGACAGGAAAACATAGCATGCAGACATTAGCGACAGGTCTTACAGGCGGAAAAGGCTTGCCAAAGAAAAAAAAAAACACACCACAACATCTCTCCTATTGGTGGAAAACTTCACCACAACAACCAATCCAAAATTATATGGTGACTGATTGACAAGGGGCGGGCGCTTACGTTCTTCCTGCAACATGAGAAGGGAGGGAGGAACTCTCAGCAGGGATGCAGTCTGGGACACGTAGTTGCAAACCTAGCGACTTTGTTGTTAGATTCAATGACTTTTCAGACCCCCTAACGACTTTTTTTTAGAAAGAAAGGGACTTTTATCGACTTCTTCTGGAGTTTAGAGACTCTGACATGAAGCAGGCTTTCCTTACTGAGGAGTTAGCAACGCTGCTAAGGGTGCAGAGCCACACATGCGCTCCGAGCTCTGCATGGGAGACTAAAGCTGACAGAGCTGCAGCAGTTAGCAGGTTTCACCCTCAGAGACCACCAGGGGTTCATGTTGAGGCATTTTCAGTTTTTTTTTTTTTTTTGCCATAGACACTGTCAGCACAATCTGCAGTTACACTAACAAAAATGCTGCAAAAAACAAAGAATTATGGAAAAATTACACATGGACTGACATAGAGGAGGATCTACACAAGTTTTTTACATCATGTTTTACATCATGCATCATTTACATCATGTTTTTTTGTAGTGGCATAAATAAAAAGTGACATTTGTGAGACTATACAGTGTTTTGTAAATAATTTTACAAAGAACGCCTGGGCCATTGCCTGCATTTTGATGTAAATAGAGGTAAATTACTATGTTCTTTGTTAAAAATTTGCATATGTTTTGAAGTTTACAATTTTTATTTGAAGTTTAAGTTTTAAAAACAGTTCATCACACATATTTGTGGTTTAATTTCACATTAATTTCCATATTGTATAAATGACTGGAAAAAACTTGAGCCCCTGCCCCTGTATAATCATGTGCACGTCCCTGTTCTAGCTCCAAGGTGAATCTTCACTGCTCATGTTCTCCTCAGAAATAGTCAACTCACTCCCCTCAGGTTACTGTACACATGCACCAACTATCTGCTTCAGGTTTGGATGGAGCTTCATGGTTGTCTTTTGGAGAAATGAACAGTCAAGTTGTGTTTGAAATTTG